CTGGGCACTCTGCTCCCCAGCCCCCGGCCGGCAGGAGACCTCGGGGCCAGGCCTCACAACGCCAAAGCTGTGGTCCCCGGGCTTGTTTCCTGAACAGCAAGTGAGCCCGTGGGATCTCTCGGGAGCCCTCCTGCCCGAGCAGCCTCCTCGGCGCCCACGCCAACAGCGCCACGAGCTGCTCCGCTCCGGTGGCTGGAGGCGTCCGCAGCCCTCCCCTGGCTGTGGTGGGGACCTGCAATGCCTCATCACATGCAGTTTCTCATATGTGAGCTCTTAAAAATCACCTGAGAAGCTCTTCAGCAGACAGCAAAGCAGCAGTGCTGCTTTCAGGGCTGCCCCAGGGCTGGTGACCGCGCCAGCAAGGCACCTAGGCCCAGAGCTGTGCAAACTACATGCACGGGGGAAGAGTCACTGCGCTCCATCTCAGAGGAGGGCAGACAGTGCTGGGTAACAAAGCGCTCCCTGCAGAAACAGGATGAAGTCATCTGTTGACTATGCAGTGCTTTCAGCAGATGTGCAGGGGGCTGAGGAAGCACTGCAGAGCTTGGGGGAAGGGGAGCAGAGGAGTGGGGAAGCCTAAGAGCCGGCAGAGGCAGCATTCCCTATATCCTGGGTGAAGCACCTTCGCGCTTTCTCAGGCAGAGAGTGCTGCCCCTTCACCTCTGAGCTCAGCCACACTCCACTCTGGACAGATGTTTGTCTTGCCCACTTCCCATTAAATGCTCTCAGAACGGCGGCTGTCTAATAGGAAGCTGAGAGGAGAGACCACGACCTGCTCCCTCCACAGCTCAGGACCAGTGTCTCTGGCTCCTGTGAGCAGCAATCCCGGCAACAGCAGGGTCCCGGACTCTGTGAGCAGGGGAAGGCAAAGCGGCAGCAGCAGAATGGCTGTGGGAGGCTGCAGCCTTGGCCAAAAGAGCTTTGTTTGTCTGCATGGCCATCAGAGAAGGGACACAAGTGGATGCCAACAGAAGAGGAAATGATCTGAGACACCATAGACCCTTTTAAGCAGGGTTATTCATTAAAAAAAAATAACCCTGCTCCCCGCCAGGCACCGGCCAGGGGAGCAGCAGAGCCCAAGTCCCCCGGGCAAGATGTCTGGGGCAAGGTGTGGAGGCGGCTGGCAGTCCAGGCAAAGAGGCAGGTCCATCCTGGCCCTGCTGCAGGCAGGGCTGCGGGCAGCACCAGGGGCTCACTTGTGCTTGGCGCGAGGGAACTCCTTCCTGCCCTTGTCACGGCTTCCGAAGTAGCGGACCCTGTGGATGGCCTGCAGCTGCCGCTCAATAGTGGCCCTGATGTCCACCTCATCAGGGATGTGGACGTAGTCAACAGGATGGGGGACGACGGGTCCTTTCCTGCCAGTCACAAAGAGCTCATCCAGGTGGGACACTGTGCCTTGCCTGTCCGTGAAGGTCACCTCAGCCAGCCGCACGTTCATGAAGGCGTCCACGTTGGTGATGCGCCCCGTGGCCGTGCTCTCATCACGGAGGTCCACGGTGGTGACGTGGCCGTGCAGGCCCTGCAGCAGGATGACCAGGCTGTTCTCGGCAATGGTGCGCTCCTTGACGGAGTGGCTGACTTCCATCGCGCGGCTGCGGTGGGGAAGAAGGAGATGCCGTGCTGCGCCCAGCTGGGCACCCACCTCCGCACTGCCAGGGAAACCCACCCTCCTCACCTTGCACACTCGGATGCATACATACCACCCCTTGCACACCCACCTGCAC